TTAATCATGCAGTTGACACAGAGAAAATAACAAAATGTATTTTTTCAGTGGCAAATTAATTTAGGCTTGAACCTCCTCCTGTAGCTCTATTCTTTGCTTTTTTTTTTTATTTTTTTATTTTGTTGTATGAAGACCAGAGAAATTCACTTTTGCATTTGGAAGTAGTATTTCTCTAGTCTTGCTGAATTAAAATAAAAAGGATGAATGTTTCTTTTACAGCGAGTTCTTGACAGTGGTTTTTTAAACGATGTATCTTGTTCTATATAAAAAAGATGAATCAATTTTTGAGTTTGATACACATTGTCTATTTTGCTGAATGGAGAGGTGAATGCAGAATTTAGACAAAGAAGAAAGCATTATCCTGAAGAGTATTTAAGTTGTGGGTGGTCCTTTATATTGCATTTAATTGTCATTAACTGTTCATGATAGCTGTTTTGGAATCTGGCTCTCATTAAGTGACTTGAAATGCTTTGTAAATTATTTTTAAATTGGGGGAAGGGAGTAAAAGAGTACTATTAGGAAAAAGAAAAAAGGTAACTCACGTGGAGTTTCCTCATGCTCCTGTAGAAATCTTTCCAGTATAATCCGAGCCATTAATGAGGGTGCATAGTTCACCTTTACAAAACAGAAATAGAAAATTAAATCTGTCAAGTTGTGCAAGCAGTTGATATTCCAATATTTTGTCAACAATGAAGATTAAGTCAATTTTAATCAACCACAGCAAGCATCATTCATTAAAATCTTTCCCATTCTTGGTGGCTTCTATCACAATAAAATTATAACAATTATGATCTGTGCTGTCGAAAAGAATAAAAGGGTCAAATTTATTGAATATGATGTTGGAGCAAAGAGGATAAAACAACTTAGAAAGAGTATTCATCTAAAAACAACAAAATGGGGTGTTCTCACCTCTTCTCAAATTTTTCTCTTGGTAGTCCAATATTATTTTTTATTCAAGCCATCCTTCTTTATTTCTAAGTATCTATCTTTGCACTGTTTTGAATACAATTTCACACAAAAATTTCTTTTGTAATTGTTTTCAGAAATTGAACTAAATGTGCTTAGTCATTAAACATGGATTTTGATGATTTTAGTTTGTCATTAAAGACTACACTGAATTTTGGCATAAATTACTCAGACATAAAATATCTTGTTCAACAACAAAAAATAGCTATATTACAGAATATTAATAATAAAAAGACAATAATATCTGAAATATGAGCTCACCATCCTTAACCTTATCAATTTAGGTAATAGAAGTAACTTGTATATAAAGGTTCAAAGAGAAAACAGGGAACTCCAATCAAACAATCATTATCATTACTTAAAAATATATCTGCTTTTGGGGAAACATATTTTTTCTTTTAGGGCCTCAGTTCTTTTATTAAGCTTTCATTTAATTTTACCAGAACATAACTGTTTGTTTTTCAAGAACAATGATGTTCCCCCTAAAACAAATCTTTTTATTTTAGGTGTAAGAGAGCAAACATTGCTGATATGTTATCACTATGAATTTTTCTTGACAGGTTTTCAACTCCCATATTCATAACAAAATTTTATCTTGATTTAGTAACTAGACAAAAAGGCTGGCTTCATTTGTATGAACAGTTTTTTCAAATATGTATGTACTTGGATGCCCTTAAATTCCCCAAGTAGAAAGAAATGCTTTCCACGAAGCTGCTTATTCCTAGTAACCCACATCAGAGCTGACACATGAAAAATGGTGAAATTACTGAAGGTAGTCCAGCCTGAATAAGGACTACCTTATTAGTTCAGGTACTTGCATCTCCCTAATTTTCATATTAATCATGTGTCCATCTTTCTCTGAAATAGGGCCATCATGCTTCATGTCAGAATTTAGCATGTAAGTAAAATTCATAGTGCTTCAAATCTCACTTGAAAATATTTGTGTGGAGAGAACAGAATGACTGATCTTATTATTACTAACAAAGTGAGGTTTCCTACAATGCCCATTTTCAGTTTTGAAATCGAAAAATTAGTATAAAGACATTTGTAAAATCAACGATGACCACATCTAGTCCCTACCCCCCAAATCAACAATAATACAGAGTTCGTGCTTAAAGAGAGCTGCTGCACACTGCAATGTATAATGTTATATATGTCTCGTCAGTTTTTACAGTTTCCACTGATTAAATATATATTGACTCATAAAGCATTACCATCACATCAATTGTCACCAGATGCAAGCGTATGTCACTTAAGTATTAACTATCATATAAAAATGGTAGCTTGGTTGTTTAGAAGCCATAATCTGGTACCAATCATTCCCAAATTTCCCTCATGCATTATCGATCTCTCAGAAAGCGCTATTATCTCTGGGCTAATCTGCAGCCAAAGAAGAGGGAAAAAAATCTTCAACTGTTTCTTTTCCTTGATTAAATATATTTGTTACAAATAACAGGTTTATTGATAAGTGAGAAAATGTGTTAGTGGGTTAAAATTTTCCCTGCTATTAGAGGATATAAGTTGAGGTCAACTAAGCTAAGCTCAACAGAAAGATCTATTAAAAATTCAGACAAGTATAAATTGCTACCCTATGAAACTTACCAGTATCACCATCTATACAAATGAGTATCATCTGTGCATCACATTCTTTCTAAATTCTGCATCTAAAATGTTGTTAGCTTACTCCTCTTTTTCATAATAATCACTAAATTCCTAGTTATAGCTCAGGTGGCTCAAGTCGCTAATACAATCAACTCTTAACAAAGATGTCTGGAGATATTTAAAGACCACCTTGCTCCAGAAACAGATAAAAAATTGAATAAAATATATGTTCTGCTAGGAGGAGGAGACAGATCCATTCTATATATTAACTATCCTATCAGACTGTGTAGACATTGCCTAGACTATTAAAACCTTCTAGAAACTGATAGGTAATTGCTCATTTGTTGACTGTAGTACTGTACAGCAGACAGAAGCTGGGAGAGAAGCCATCCTTCCTTGCTAATATAACATGTAGAACTTGCTGCTACTGCAACACTTAATGCTCACAGTACCGAGTCATCTTTAATGCAAACACACATTTTCTGCCTTGCTTCTATGTTTTCCATTATAATGCAACACAAAAACAGTGTACATTTCATTGCATCCCTGTGAGGTTTGCATAAGCAGTTCCAAGTCAGACTAAATATTGTATTGCTCTTATTATAGTGGATAAATATTTTAAAGTTTAGGAATTAAATATTTTATTTTTTCAGTATGCTCTCTGCAACTATTATGAACTTTTTACAGCTTCTTCATTCATGGGAAATCTTTAGGGTTTCCTTTTTTAAATGTAAGACCATTATTTGTTTCCCCAAACAGAAGCAGATCAGAGTTAACAAATAAACTCAATAAATCACTTTCTACCTGGTGTTAATAAGAAAATTATGCTTCTTGGTGTACAGAAAGAGACTTTTCTACAGGGCATGGATCTTTTATTATAATAAAAGTTTGCTAACAAGAAGAAATGAATCAAGTAAATGTTACATCTTTAAGTATACAATTTCTCTCTTCATTTTTATAATAGTTATCATAGGTTTCCTTGGCATATGTCTCTTTACTTGACACAGGTATTTCTCACACTAAATTAAGACAACATAAGCAAAGAAGAGCATGTCTTGAGCTGTTTGCTTGAAATTTCCAACAAAATAAGAAACCAAGAAGCTGTTTATACGTTTGCCTTAAAAGAAGTAGACTAATTATCTTAACTGATTTATTAATGTGTTAAGTTCTTTGTCCAATTATTACAAGTACAAAGAGACCAGGGAGCAATTTAAATGTCTAATGCACCTCAAAATCTTTTTTTTTTAAGGTTAATTATAACTCTAAGCAAAGCTACTCTAGATAGGCCCCTTAGGTTTTATGCAGGTTTAAATAAAATAATAACAATAACATTACCTCATTGGCCAGTTCCAGGAGCACTGGGGCAGCTCCATTTTTCTCCACTCCATCCAGGTACCTAGACAAGACAAAAACCAAGTGGTAATGCAGTGACAAGAAAAGGCCAGCATAGACTTGTCAGCGTCCCCTGTGTGTACGCGTTTCTCCTGGGCAAATGCCACACTCTACTCGAGTTAAAGTGTGCTACTGTCATAGGAAAGCATTGATGGGAAAAGGATAAAAAAACAACTTACCTCAAAACCACTGGCAACTAACTAACCGAAGCTGGAGGCCGGAGGTATGAGCACCTAGGTCTCCCTTGCTTTCATCTCCTAACACGTAAAGTAAACACAGAGATGATTTCAAAAAGAACTTTCTCTATTGCCCTGGCTTTGTCTAAATCATAATGGTCTCATGAAAAGGAAATAAATTTACTCTCAAGGTTTGAAGAAAGTACCCATGGACCCATCTCATCTTTTAATTTATTTTTTTTCTTTTAGTAGGATTGGTTGACAACTTATTAAGAAAAAAATGGAACAAGACTTATCAATGGATCAGCATACTTTACTAGCCAGTAAGTTCCAGCAACCCTCACCCACTAATCCACTTTTAAAAAACAGAAAAAAAAAAAAAAAGAACTCCAAAAATCCATCCTATACATGCAAGTTGGAGTCTTTAACAGAAATTTGAATGTATCATCTCCACAAAACACTTTAAAGGACTCATAGTAAATGAAATAATAACCACCTAACAGCTCTTGTAAGGGTCTTCATAATCTACTCCCTACCTACTCTATTCTGTCAGTCTTATTTCTAGTCAAGTTCCCCACTCCTACCCTTTTCCTGGATAACTCATGATTCAGCTTATATGTCACCTTCTTCAATCTACCACAAGCAGGAATAAGTGAAGTGTCGCTTATATGCAATCAGGGACTATCTAATGCAGCTCTCCATCACTTACTACAGCATACTGTATCTGCTTACTTGTCCAACTCAAACCCACCCCCCACTGAAAGGCTGAAAGCCCCAGGAGTATGTATTTTATTCAATTTATTATGCCTAACACAGTTCTTTACTGTAATAGGCAATTATAGGTACACAGTTTTCTTTATTAAATGAGTAGTCAAATATTTTTTTAAAGATTTATTTTTATTTATGCATACAAGAACTGGGGTATAGGTCAGAGGTGTATGGGTAAGAGGATTCCCCAAAGACAGAGTGGGAGGAGAACAGGCAGATCTACTGAAATACACTGCTGAGGGGAGCAGCAGGCGAGACAGACGAGGTCTTCTGTGTCATGTGGCTCAGCTCCCTGGCTGGGGATGAAACTCATGCCACTGGCTTGTGGTAGCTTGATAATGATGAGACTTTAACCCCTGTGCCACCAGGGAGGACCCATGAATAGTTAAATAATTTTAAAAGCCATAGAGGACAAGAGAATAAAAATAAGTATGTCCATGCACACTACAGTAAACTGTTTAAGTAAATAAATTCACAATATTTGTTTGATAATAAAAGTCTTAGTCTATAGATGCCTTTCATATAATGCCAGAAGGAGACACTAAAGTATATTCTATCACACATGTACTTAAAAAAATATGATTTTCCTATTAAAAAAAAAAGCAGAGTAAAAACAATTCATTTCACATGGAGAGAGTTTCAGGATCATTAAAAGTTCTAAGCAATTCTAACAAATCCATTTTCCATATATGAGGACCTTTCTTAGATAAATTGTTTGGGATTCTAACTGGGAAGTAAGGACTTTCTGAAAAAAAGGTGAAGGAGGGAAAAAACGGTGAAGGGGGCAAGAGTGGCTTTAAAAAAGGTTTTTAGGGGGCCTCCCCTGGTGGCACAGCGGTTGAGCTCTGGGCTGCGAGGCTGCCCGCAGCCTCTGCAGCGCCGGTTCGTTCCTCGGCCGCCAGCGAGTGTCCCCCCCCACAAAAAAAAAAAGGTTTTTAGGAAATAGGTGAGCTAAGAACCTGACACTGAACTACTACATCCTCAAGGTACCAACAGGCCCGCTCAGGCACACACAGGTCAGACAAACTAATGGTGTGTCCCCTATCACAAGTGAGTAGTCATTTAGGGCTCTGATTCTGGATCGGAGCAGTTAAGCTTATACTAATAGCAGGATTTCTTTACAACTTTCTGTATAATATGCATTTATCCCACAAATACTCCTGAGAGCTAAGTAAGGGCCAGGTTTTATTCAGGTTCTGAAGAAGCAGAAGGGGTAAAAATTTCCATGGTTCCTGCCATCACAGAGCTCATACGACAGCACAGCGACGATGAAAAGATGGGGTGGGAGGATACATAATATAATGATGTATGCTACAATGAAATATAAACTTCATTGGTTGCGGCAGGAAGCCCCTCTTTCTGAAAGTCACACTTGAATAGAGATCTTCAATAAAGAAAGTGGCAAGCCAAGTGCAAATGTCAAAAATGCACCTGGAGCGTCTGAGGATCAGGAAAGGGCCTGGTGTGAACACAGAAGATCTTGGTGAAAGGTGATGGCTAGGGCCAGAAAACTGTTGTTTTGACCCAAAATTCAAAGGTTTCATGAAAAACACTGCATCAGTCACTACTCTGGTAATGACTAATGGAACACTTAAACATTTAAAGAAACAGATGATGACCAAAAAATAGTAATAATCAAGTATATCTGTCCATATAATCTTTTTTTAATTTTAATTTTTTTTATTTTTATATTCCCCAAACAATTGCAACCCCTTTATTTTGACCCCAATCCCTCCCCCCCACCCCCCTCCCCTCATAAAGTGTCTCTGGTTCATAGTTGTTTGATATTCATTTTCCTGGTCCCTTATTTAAGTTTTCTAGATTCCTGCTATGAGTGAGACCATCCGGTACTTTTCTTTTTCTTTCTGGCTTATTTCGCTGAGCATGATCCCTTCCAGCGCCATCCATGTTGCTGCAAATTGCATGTGTTTATCTTTTTTGAATGCTGAGTAATATTCCATGGTGTATATGTACCACATCTTCTTGATCCAGTCATCTATTTTTGGGCATTTGGGTTGTTTCCAAAGCTTAGCTATTGTAAACAGTGCTGCTATAAACATAGGAGTGCAGGTGCTCTTTGGAGTTGATGTTTCTGTGTCCTTTGGGTAAATACCTAGGAGTGGAATTGCTGGATCATATGGAAGCTCTATGTTTAGTAGGTCAAGAAATGTCCATATAACCTTAAAGCATTGTCATACTCACTATAATGGACAATTCTAATTATGAGCTTGATAAAAGCGTTCAGTTGGACACATAAAGAAACGGACACCCACACTCACGACCTCCATCTGGACTCTCTTACAAGTAAGCATTAAAGCTCTGATATGGGTCCCTGATCTCTCAATGCCTACTGAGGTGCCCTCACATGTTGAAAAGGTAGACTTGTCTCTGAAGGAATTTATTCCCCAATTTCTATCCTAACTATGTCCTATACCAATGAAGAATCACTAGGGAAAAGAAATTAAGCTAAAATTAAGTTGCAGTTGTCCTTTATGGGAACTTTGTCCACCACATGAAGTGACAGATCAGACTTATTTAAATTTTTTAGACATGTAATCAAAGGACCATGATAATTACAGAACATACTGAGGACACAATAAGACATTCCTAATGCTATCCTGCTCTGCATCCTCAAAATATCTTGTGCAAATTTACAGCACAGAACTTCTCACCCGGTTAAGAGAGTTGCATATTTCTTCTGTTTTATTGGAAACTCCTAGGAGGGAGAGCTATACAAACCAATGTTCAATGATCCAACAGATCCTTAGCAAAGATCGGAATTATAAGCAGGAGATAAGGACATGATCCTGAACACCACATTAATGTGACCTGAGCTATCTTCCAGGTGCATATTTACAATGTAAAACTACTTTGCCCAGAAGCTATATGTTATCCTTTAGCTTTGCCATAGGAAGTTTAACAAATGGGTATGTTGTAGGTAAAACCTTACCAATCCTTAAAAGATCTTTATAGAAGTTTATTTTAGGATCTTTTTTGAGTGTGAAAGATACATTAGCACTTAAGGTTAAAATAATATGTACCGATTTAAAATATAAGGCATAGTTATTTGATCTTCAATATTTTCATAACTATTAATGGCAAACTTAAAAAAATCTACCAAAATCCTATGCTAAGCATACATTGAATACCACCTTTGTTGACTATCTCTAAAATCTCTGAAATCTATCTCCATGCTTGCAAATATTTTCCAAATAAACAGAGCAAAAGAGGGTGGCTTCTGTGTCTTAATTCACTTTTCTATACTTATTTCCTAGCAGGGTAGATGGGAAACTCTGAGTACGAAGTGTATGCTGATTAAACAAAGAAGTGGTTCAAATTTTCAGAAACTATTTTTATTATGTAATGTCAATAACATTTTAACTAATCCTTTTTCCATGTAAACATCTGAATAAAATTCTATCAATCAGATATTCTAAACTTAAGGAAGCTGGCCCCTCAGATGGCATGTTGGGAGAAGGTAGACAATAATTCTAAACTTAGTTATTGGTGGGGTTTTGCAAATATGACCAATTTTGTGTGTGTGTGTGTGTGTATACAAAGGCCCAGGTGCACCAAATAGGATGAGCCTCAATAAATTTTACCAAGTATGCTTCCTGTTTGGAAATCGAGTGTCATTAGTATAGTGGAAAAGAATAGAGAGGTGCTTTCAAAAGAGCACTCAAGCTACGTCTACAAATACAGAGCATGAAGAACTAAGGAAATTTTCTCAGTAATTCAAAAGCTTGAGAAAACATTTTCTACTGCTTATCTGGATACTCTGAAGTTTCAATTCACCATGATGGCATCATAATATGTATCTTATATTTAAGGATTCTTCAAATTCTAAATTGAGACCACCTCAATATTACCAGGAGGCAGAGACATAGGAGCTCTCTGATACTACCAGTAGGAATGTAACTATTATAGCCATTTTAGACAACAATTAGGCAATATATAATAAAATTTTTATTTGCTCACTGTTTGACACATATAGAAACATTAAAAAAACTAATCCAAAATGCAAAGACTTATGTACCAAAAGGCTTACATAGTATTATTTATAATATTCGAATACTGGAAACACATGTTTTAAAGAGTAATCAATAAATTATGGTACTTTCATATGATCAGCTAATGCAAACGATCAAATGCTTACAAAAAGCTTTTTACAAAAATAATATTACATCATATACACTTTTTCGAGAATAAAATTCAGGATTCACAACTGCATAGATAGCATAATGTCATCTTTATAAAACTGATTAACAAAAGTCTAGAATGAAAATGAACACAATGGTTATCTCTGGATAACACTATTATGGGCATTCTTTCATTCCCTTTTGACGTTAACACAAACGTATTTAATTTTCACAATAGTAAGCATTTCTTTTATAAAAGGAAAAAAATTAAAGAAATTGTCAACATTGCCAAGCTGCTTACATATATCTGATCTAATGTAATTTACCTTTATTCTAATCAGCTAGAAAACAAACAAAAACCTTTTAAGACCAATTTCCCTTAAAGAATATTGGTACATTCAATCTGTACATACAAAACAAGAGGCCTGTGAGGTCTGATCACCTGTAAGGTAATAACATGCTATCTCCAAACACGAAGTACAGAGCAGAGTCAGCGAGCAGTGGTAAGGTAAGAAACTAGTCAGACTGCTTTCCTGTTAGCCTGTGCCGTACAGCCTAACATGTTTTGTTTCAAATGCTATGACTCCTCAAATAATTGAGACTCTCACCTTTAAATAAACTTAAAGAAATGCAAATGTATTTCTGTATTCTCAGTATTACCCACTCAACTGTTCACCAGTGAACAACCAGACTTAATGGAAGGATCTTTATTTCTGGCCTCAACTAACCAGATAATACAATAAAAGCATGCTCATGTGTCAATAATTAAGCATACCTTTTAACGAAATTAAGATTTTTGAAAAACAGCACTTAATTTGAAATCATCTAATCATCCAATTAGAAATCATCCAATTATCAGAGGGCATCCCGTGGTGTGGTAGCAGAGATCCACATTTCTAGGAAATGCTGTCTTCCTTTGCTTATGTTCACAAGGCTTTGAAATCTGGACATATGGCCGAAGACTATCATTTTTACAAACAAGAATGTATTTTTGGACACCTAACTAACTTTTCAGTATTTCCTTGGAGGATTTGATGCCAAGGCAGCTGTTGGTTTCACAGAACTTCACGAGCGATTCTTAATTTTATATGTATGATTTAGGTTATGACTTTGATTTAAATGTTAATTTCACTGAGAAGACTATGACTTTCGAGTAAATCAATTCAAAATTTATAAACACTTGTTTGGGAAGTTGTCTCCTGAACACAAAAGTGTATGTGTCTGTGTATAGTGTGAGTGTATCTTCTTTGGCATATATTGCTACTCAAAACTAAACATATCTTCTCTCACATATGGTAAGAGTAAACAATTTTTTAAAAATCTAACTTCAATAAATTCTTTCTTCAATAAATCTTGAGTCTTAAAAATGATTTTACAGAAGCATGACACCAATATTTTATCTATATATTCATTTCATTCATAAAATGTTCGTGCATAAATATCACTCACTCAAATCACTGGTGTCACTCTCACCACAGAAAGGTTAACCTGTCAATCTGAAGTGTAATAATTTAAGAGTATATTTCAAACAGTTTTCCTTTCTGATATGCCCTTGAAATATTTGAGAAACCAATCAACACTTGGCTAATGTAAACCACTATCATTTATTGTTAGAAATAATTGTCATATTACAAAGATAATAAAAAATTTTAGAATTTTAAAAGAGTCAGTTGAGGGTTATTTATAGTAAATTAAAAGATTCCATGGACACTATGATGTTGATTTAATATCCAAGATTTTTTTTTTAAATATAAAATTCCATTTAAAATAGGGAGGGAGGAGCACCGGGGACTGTAGTGATGGTGCACAGGTGCCCTGGGGAAGGAAATTCTATGGGGACTCAATCTGAGGGGGTGGGGGAAAGCAAATATTGTTTAAAAATAAAAAGAAATTAAAAAAAAAAGAAATCACAAAAAAGAAGAAGAAAATAAAATAAAATAGGACAGTGGTAGATTATTCTATATTTCCATAGGTCCTTGATACATAACTTTTTTTTTTCCATTTCTAAAATGTCTAACCCAATGCTGATGATGCAACACACAACAACACCAAAATTCAATTTTATTTTCTAATTTTCTGGTCTAAGTAGGATATAGGAAGTGGTTGAGAACTTTCACTCATACACATAGCTATCTGTATATGTGCACATATGTATCTCTACACGATAAGCACTTACAACTTTTTAGTCGCCAACTGAGATTTCATAATACCATAACAACTTTTTACCCAGTACGTATACACACACCCCTAAGTCAAGACAATCTCACCCTTTTCTTTAAATCTCCAAAACAAAGCATTTGAGTAATCATTCAAAACTACACTACGAGGTCTTCAACAGCAAATTTAAAATAAAATACTTTGGGAAGCTATGCTGAAAATTAATTGAATAGTCTAATTTATTCATAATTATTATTACAATTAATAGGTACTATGATACCCTCTAGTGGGGCAGGCAGGTCATACCTCTGGTAATAACTTTCAATCGCTTCCAAAGTATGATGCTTGGCATGTGTTCTTTTAATATGTTTCTGAAACAAAACAAAAAAGATCTTTATGCTGTGTCACAGATCAAGTTCAAAACAAGAATGACGTATTTCTTCAACCCAACATTTAGCACATAGGACAAACCCAACAACAGTTTGGGGATTTGGTGGTGGTGGGTCTTTTTCCTTCTATTCTTTGAACCTATGCATTTTAATCTCTAATGCCTGGCCGGGATGTCTTCAGACTGTACCACAAGGTACAGTATATATGTAAAAGCCAAGAGGGTCATAGTAATTGAATCTAAATAAGTTTGCTTAGGGTTGCAGAGGGCAAAGCAAAACTTGTTCCCTCTTTCAACCTTTGTATTAATTTTCCCTCAATTCAATTCCATCTAAGTCCTCTGCACTCTAGTTTTACAATCCAATTGCCATTTTTAACCAGGAAGAACATTGCTTAAAAACAACTTATTTGAAAACTACAAAAAGGAATTCCATAGAGACTTGCCACTTGACTGACACCTGTCATCTCATGATAAATGACTCCATTTTCTGCCTCTCTTGCCTTCTGCCACTCCAGCAATGGTCATTTATCATCATCTCTGTCAGCAATGGAAAGCGGCACTGACAGTGCAAGTCAGCAAACATTTAGCACATGGAACCACGCAACACAGGGAAATTATTATTGTCAGAATAATAATGGTTTAGCATAATTTATTACAGGTCCACCAAATAAGCAAAGGCTAGATGTTATTAGACAGATGGATGGGTAGGCTTGGCAGGCCTCCACTGAGACGCAGGCGGTGCTTGATGTGGAAAGAACATCCTCCAACCCAATCAGAGAGCTGGCAGTTCAATTACAAAGAAATAAAGGGACATTCATCATTCAATTAGGCACCTGTCAACCCTCACAAAGGAGAAAACTTCTAACCTGGTACTCCTGGGAGAAGATGCTCAGCAGAGTGGCCTGCGATTGACTGGAACAAATAAAAGAAGGACAAAGTTAATTACTGGAGTGCACGGCAAAGAAACAAAAGAGAAAGGAGCTTCAAAGGTAGGCCTGCTGCCCTGTAATCTAACAGAACATGAAAACAAGTGTGGAAAAGTTGTTCCAGATGAACACCTCAGACAAAGGCTTCCTGCTGCTAGGTCAAGGAGAGAGAAAAAGGGAGAAGAGAAAGTGTGGACCCTCTCAAAGCAAACCAGCCTGTGGTTGGGATTGGTTTTAAACTTGAGAATGACTGTAAATCATATCTGTGGCAAGCAGTCGTGTTAAAAGGAACAAAAAGAAGGCCAGGTTTATTGCCATTAATAAGTGATAGAGCTAAAAGTCACAACAGTAGAAAATAGGCAGCTCATTCACTGGCAACACTCTGAAATTTATTTTGTTAGCAGAAAGGTATCCTTTCCAGTAGCTTTCACAGATTTGGGTGGGGGGAGGCGCATTGGTCTCCACTAGAAGTAGCACAGTGGCCAATGGAACATTCCCACTGACACTGGCATGCTTTGAACATAGATGCTTTCACAGCAGGAAGCTGAGGTCCTTGGAGTGCATCTTTCCCACTGACTGCCACAGCCGTATTCATCTCAGACCCACACAATGCCAAACACCTGGCAGTGAAGCAACCTGGAAAACATTCTTCCCAAGTGGGAATTTTCCTCTTGCACTTGTTAACATTTAGAATAGGAATGGAATTTTTTCTCAACAAAGCAAGCAATGCCTTACTGTTATTTTTTTGATTGCCCCCTGCAGATACATCCACCTTGTCATATCTTGAAAACAATTAATTATTTCTGATATATTTTCCTACTAGATGCTATCTGAACAAATTGCTGTGTTAATAATTCCACCTTCATAGCACACCCAAGCACTGTGAACAATTAGATGTTTCTATTCATGAATGAAACCTCTCAAGCTCACCACAGGTCATTTGGGAAGTGTGAAGTAAATACAATGACACCGTATTTCTTTATTTGCTCCCATAGTATTGCTATCTGTTGCATTCCAGCATAGATGCAGGTTTTAACTTCTTACCACTCTTACCAGATTACAAGAGTAGGTTTTTAAAAATACTGTGAATGTTTATCAAGGAAAACTGATAACTAAAATATCTCTGGAGCACTGATAAATGATTGTATAAAACTATAAATTCATTATAGTCCAATGTTTTCAACTTCTGTTTAAAAATGGAAACGGGGTCTCCTCTGTGGCGAAGCAGTTGAGCGCTGGGTTGCTAAGCTGCCCGCAGCCTCTGCAGCGCTGGTTCCATCCCCGGCTGCTCCCCGGCCACCGGAGGAGGGTCCCACATGGCACCGCGCAGACCTCTCTTGCCGCCTGCTGCTTCCCTCAGCAGTGCGCTTCGTCAGTCTGCCTGTTCTGTTCCCCGCTCTGGCTCTGGTGAATTCTCCCACTGTGCTTGTATAAATAAATAAATCTTTAAAAAAATATAAAAAAATAAAAAAAAAAAATGGAAACCACCTTGATAAGAGCCAATTTATATATAAAATCTTCCTAGTAAGCCTCTTTTGTCTGAACTTCACATGCAAATCACATCCCCTAGCAGGCTGCTGAAACCATCTTCTGAGGAAATAGCAAAATTCAACCCAAATCTATAAACTACTGATTAAGTCATTATGTTAGATATTTATATGCCACAAACAGACTGCTCCTTATCATACAACAAAATATATTATGCTAAGCATTTAATGTGGACAGACTGTCAGTCTCCATGTTTCAAAAAATATGATGGAAATGAGTGTGTTTGTAATGGGAACATCAAGGACCAGTGACTAATGAGGAGGAAAATAAACTGTGAATAAAACAAAAGTGTAATTGCAGACGCCCAGCATGGGAAGAATGAGAGAGTTGGAGAAATAAGCCTGGGAATAAGCAGTTCAAAGTGAGCAGTTGGTCAGGAGTCTAGAGTACTTTAAAAACTGAAGAGAGAGACGTGCTTTTAACCAGAAAACTATCTTTCAACTGCTTAGAATTCAATGCAGCCAAAACCATGGACAGAGCCTCGGGAGCAACCCATTTTCTCAGCGGACAAGAAAGTTAAGTAAGAGAGAAGATTCCAGTTTCCACATGAGGCAAAAACTGGCTAGACCTACAAAGAGAAAATGTACTTGCCATAGTCATAACAGAAAATCAGACTTGGATGCAAAGTGCTTTGGGTTTGGTTGACCAAAGAAAGCCGTAGAGAATTCAGTGATGTTTGGTCGGTAGCTCGCCAACCAACTATGTGTTCCTTTATGTGCTCCAAACAAGTATCACAACACAAAGAGCAGGAAAGTAGTGAAGGAGAAAGTTAAGAAATGGGTATAGGCAGTCAGTTAGAACAGGGTACCCCAAACCCCTTAGTCCACTTATCAGCCATATTGAGAAACACTCAGTTGGTACCAGGAGGGTGCCTTGGTGCCCAAGGTCCATTTATCAGTCTGATTGGAGAATAATCTTGGACCAGCACGGTATCCCCCCAACCCAGTAAAGAGTGGGATATTCAGATCACCACCACAATAGCACAATACTTAAGCAATGGACCAAAGGTAACTTCGGGAAGGTAGGCCAGGTAACATGGGCAAACTCAGCAAACCTTGGTCATTTACGAGACCTCGGTGGCCCCAGCCAATCAGCAAGAGACACAACATGGAAAACCCAATAACCAAATGCCCACTCCTTGCCCACTATACCCATATAATAAACACCACCTTCTCCCCACCTCAGTGGCTATCCATTGGGACCCTACTCTGCTCAGAGTTCAATCCCCGGCCAGCAAGGGAGCTACCCACATAGCACAGCAGACCTCTCCTGACTCACCCGCTGCTCCACTCAGCAGTGTACTTCAGTCCATCTGGCTGTTCTGTCCCCCTCTCTGTCTCTGATGAATCCTCTCACCCCTCACACCTCTGGCCTGTACCCCAGCCCTTGTATGCAAAAATAAGTCTTTTAAAAATAAATAAATAAATAAATAAATAAATAAATAAATAAATAAATAAAATGACTCTAAGACAAGGGGTAAGATTTTAAATATAAAATTTGCTCTTTCACAAGTGGTTTCCACTTATCACCTACTTTGTGCTAGATACTACAATGGGCAATTCATTTTAGCCTCATAATAATTCTCTGAGGCAGGTACGATTGTCCTTATTTAAAGAAGGCAGAAGAGCAGGGATTCAAAACCAGAACCAATTCCAGAACACAAACTCTAATCCCAGTGCTAATTCTGCCTTTGTAAAAGTTCCAGAAATTGATTGTGTATACCATGTGTGCTAACACCCTTACCTAAGGATTCATATGATGTTATATTACATTCCAAACAAAAGATGGACATTGTTGTTTTGATAGAAGATAGAAGACAAAGGATCATAACAAATTGGTCCCCATGGACTAAAAAAATATTCCATTTAAAAGAAGTTAAACCATAGTTTTCCTTTAATTAGCTCCCCAAAAATGCCATTCTATTTTTCTTTGAAAAGATAAAAGAACTATTGACTACAAGAAACAGTCAAGGATTAAAACATAATTCAGAGATTTCTATTATTTTCCCTGCAGGTGAGATACACATTTGTTAACAATCACACCACTACCTGTAGTGTCTCCATGTGATCATATATGTGTCTTTTGTCGAAAAGTTATTAACTGCATATGATGTAGCATTAAATCCTTCTCTGAGCAACAAAGGTGCAGACCAAATTGACCTCTATGGAAAACAAAAATTTAATGAAAATTATTAGTTGGCTGGAAAATATAAAAACTTTACAACACTATATAGTCCTTCCTTCCAACAACATAAGATTTATTATCAATATTGATTTAATTCTTACTATACATTAAAATTCACAAAATATTCTTACTGTTTTATACAGTCTGTTCATTCAGATATTCTTACATGTGTACCACTTCATTGTCCTTCATTCTTTCTTCCTGCACTCTTCCTTCTGGAATAACTTTCTTTTAATAATTTCATCAGGGAAGATGTGTTGGTGATGTCAAATTTTTACTTTTGCCAATGATAATATGTCATAGTCATCTACCTTGTTTTTAATTTGTCTTTAATATTAATTTTTAAAAGGATTTTAATTCTGTAGTGTTTATTAACGTCTTGTTGGAATTTTGTTGGACTTCTTAAGTAATTGCCTGGATTCCTTCCATCATTTTAAGAATATTCTCAACTCATTATTTCTTCAAATTTTGTTTTAGCACTCTGCTCTTGAGACTCCAAATAGGTGTATGTTAGTCCTCTCTACTATATTTTTTATGCCTACCTCCTCTACATATGTTTCAATTTTTAAAAAATTCTTTGTTATTCTGTTACATTATGTCATTATGTATATTTTCTTTGAATCTATCATCCAGATCACTAATTCTCTTTTCACTAATGTCTAATTTGATGTTCAATCCAAACACTGACTTAAATCAATTTGATTTCGGCTACTATACTTTTAACTTGTAGCCTTTCTACTTAATTCTTTTTCAAGTAAGCCCCGGCAGAATGCTTCAATCTTTCTTTTCAAACCCCTCAAGTAAAATTTAATGATAAAAATTCTATTAAATGGTCTCAGGGACTAGAGACCTTTTGAGTCTAATTTCCACAGTTTCTACTGTTTCTCAATCAAGTTGTTACCTGGTAGGGTAAGTTTCTTATGTAACTAAGTATCTCTCTTACTACTTAAAAACTGCTTTATAAATACTTTGAAGACTGAAATATTATCTTTCTCCAGAGAGGATTCTGACTTGATTCTGGGAGCACTGGGAGTCCAGGAACATTTTAGTAGTTTCAAATTTAATTTTTAGATCCAATGTGGTGGAAATATAGTCCTTAGGGCTATTTTACTTTCAGTTCACATTTGTTCCTCGGGTAAAGACTTTTTAGTGTCCCTCCTAAAACCTTGGGTGCTATTTACAAGAACTATCACCTCTTGTGATTACTGATGTCTAAACCTATCCTCTAATCCCATAAGGCTGTCAAAAGTTCTG